GTGCCACTAGCTATAGACTGATGCTAGGGCCTCAAAACGATGATGGACACATGCATTGCATGGAACTAACTGGTGGTAGATACTGAGTGGTAGGAAGCTAAGGTGGAATTGTTGGGTGTGTAAGTGGGGTGTAAAACAAACATGAGAGTATGTAAGTTCTACCTAAGCGCTCTCCCAGGGCTCGGAGCCAAATAGGGAGCGCTCTAAGTATGTAAATGAGGTAAGGTGATGTAAAGTAAGGGTGCATAACGAAATGGGAAGTGTAATATGCTAAATATGGTCAGATAACGAAAAGGGACATACCAAGGGACTGGTTGGACGATGGATGGATGCTCCTGGATGTTGTGCGACATAGTGCGCTTAAGCGCGAGAAAGCGCGCAAGGCGCGCACGCGGGAATACTGCGCATTGTGCAGGAAAGTGTCGCGCCTATGGCGCGTTTTGCGGGAAGTGGTGCGCATGATGGTGGAAGTCATAGTGGATGATGGTGCAAGTTGTGCAGTAAAGGCCAGTCATCAGAATTCGTAAAATGAGCCCATATGAGCCCACAGAAACGCGAGTCTCTACACCGGTCGCTTTAAAACCAAGGAACTGGTTAAACGTGACTTTTGGTGGCCGTCTATGGGAACTTATATCCAGAAATACGTTGAGGGTTGCGCCCTTTGTCAGCAAATGAAATCAGATACCCACCCTACCACTCCCCCGCTGGTTCCTATCCCTTCTTCGGTCTCTACCCCATTTTCGCAAGTCTCTGTCGACCTCATCACTGATTTACCTCCTTGCAACGGTTTCGATTCTATCATGGTCGTGGTAGACCATGGTCTTATGAAGGGGATAATTCTCATTCCTTGTACAAAAACCATCACCTCAGAAGGCGTAGCAAAGAAGTTTTTTAAATACATCTACTGCCGCTTCGGACTCCATGAGAAGGTGATCTCAGATTGAGGACCACAATTCATATCCAAATTCTCTAAAGCCCTTGCTAAGCTTTTGAAATCCGACATTGCCGCTTCCCACCGCTTATCATCCACAAACGGACGGCCAAACCGAACATTTAAATCAAGAACTGGAAACCTATCTCCGAATCTATTGCCGCAATAACCCAGAAGAATGGGTTGAACATATGTATCCCAATGTCTGAATTCGTCCACAATCACCGCAAACACGATTCCCGCAACGCATCTCCATTCTTCCTTATGATGGGATATGAACCGCGAGCTCTCCCTCACGTACTTCCCGATTCTACCGTCCCAGCAGCAGAAGAACGACTCCACCTACTTCAGAAAATACGTGAAGAAGCTATCTCTTGTCATAACCTAGCAATGCAGCGAATGGCCGCACGATCGTATGGGAAGAAATACCAACCATGGAAAGTTGGAGATAAGGTTTGGTTATCGGGAAAGAATCTCATCACGCAGTTACCATCACGAAAACTCGCCCTGAAATGATACGGGCCCTTTACCATGAAAGCCGTACTCTCCCCTATCACATTCACACTCCAACTCCCAGAACAATGGAAGGTTCACCCCACGTTCCATGCTTCCGAGCTATCATCCTATCATGAAACCGAAATACACGGTCCTAACTTCCCCGATCCCCCACCCGATATCATCGATAACGAAGAAGAATACGAAGTCGAAGCAATCTTATCACACAAGGGCACGGGTAAACGAAGACGCTATCTCGTATCCTGGAAAGGATATTCTTCCGCCAACAACAAATGGATTCCCACAGAAAACCTCGGCAATGCTTCCACAATCCTCGCTGCTTATAAGAAAGCTCATCAGTTATAAGAGTCTGAATGAAAGTATGTCTTTTTCAGAACTCCGTACTCTTCAAATCCGTCTCCTGCAACTCCAGTCTATTGCCAACGCCATTGATAACATGTCCGCAAGCCTTACCACCTCCCCATCCACAACATCCGTCACATTGACCGAAACCATCAGATCCCCAAACTACTTCACCATTCTTGACGACATTGAAACCAACACGTTATTTGAATCTGCCCTCCTTTCCGAACAATCCACTATCGAGATAGACCGCCTCCTCGCTGAACAAGGAGCTCTCTCTAGTACCCTTCTCATTAACATCATCCGTGCTGCCAATCTTGTCAAACGTACCGCAGGACTTCTTAATGACAAACGTCTTGAGACCATTTTCCGTCACCTTCATATACGTATTCGCAACACTGCACTTCCTCTACCAAAGCGGTTGTTAGAGAGGCAATCCATATCGTCACTGAACGAATTGCAACAAACCCAATCACTAGACCACCATCCCCACACATTGCAATTCCCGTTCCACCTCCGGTTGAGACACCAACTCCTGTTGAGCATATGTCTAATGTTATCAGTCCTCCTTCTATACCGGTCATATCAATTGCTACTACGTCTGCCCCGGCGGCAACGACTCCTCGTATACATCCCACTCACTGACAACCTTCCAAGCGAGAGATCTCTGTCTCCCCCACTTCTCGAAACACCACTTTACGCTCTAAAACACCATCCCCGCCTCCGCAATCATCATCGGTCACCATCGTAAAGACTGAAAACCACGATAACTTTATTTGTCGTAACTGTGACATCGCCGGTCATCGTCACAAGAACTGCCCCACATACTTCTGCCATGTATGTCGTAATCTCGCGCCTGGACATCTATCCGTCTTTTGCAAAGAACTTAAAGGAGAAAAGCCGCTTCCTTAAGTATGGACGGATGAAGGCTTCTATGAGGCTCTCGCCAAATGGGAGGCTGATAAAGACGCCGCGTTAGAACAGCTTTCCATCGAAGAAGATGAGAAACTTTTCACCCAATGTGCTGGGGATCGTGATAACTATGATGCCTACAATAATTTTGATTGTTGAAATCGGTGACTTCAACGATAACAACGGGTTAATGTTACAGTCAAGTACGCCCCTATTCATTTTCTCTTCTTACCTTGTATTACGTCACAATCGCCATCATGAGCCGTCGCTAGACTTCTCTTATTACCAGTTGTATTACACCACGATCGCATTATGCCATCACTAGGTGATCTATTCTTGTTATCTCTGACTCATTCTGACTTCATCATACCGGCCCTAAAGCAGTTATCTTTCACTATATAAACTCGCTCTGTACTATGTAGTTCTTTACTTCAATCTTACTAGGTTTTACCTGGAACTTCCTTCACTTAAGACCTCCAATCTTAAGTCGTCTGAAACTTGATTCAAGCCAAGGACACCCTCCTTGTCTTGTCTTAGTGAACCATCAAACTTTGGCATATGCTGAAGCCTTGAACCGACCTTGGCCTATTACTCTTACCAAGTAGCCATACGTCAGAACCACCCTAGTTCGTAACAATTTAGGCTTTAGCGCTCTACTTAGGTTTCCTAGACTGAAGTTCTAGTCTTGGATCTCCCTCACTTATATCAGAGGAATCTATTCTCAGTAGCAATCCCCTTGGGACGACTGTTGCTCGCTTCCAGAGGAGCACTTGAGAGCCTCACTACACACTCCCCCCTAGTATCCATTTATCATTCCTTACCCTCAGCATATTTCAGGGTTAACTCCTCAGTCTATAATACCAACAAAAAGAAAGTCATTACTGCACTCGCCTATATGTCTGAAGGAAGCGCAGCTGGATGGGCAACCACGTTTTACACAGGAGCTGACGATACTGTCACTAATCCTTATGGAACCTTCGCCAGCTTCGAAATGAAGTTCAAAGAAGCATTTGCTCCAGCTGATGCGAAAGTAGTTGCACTGAACAAGCTAAGAACCCTCAGGCAAGGGAATGATCTTACGTCCTACATCGCTGAATTCAAAACCCTTGTCTCACAAGCCAGCGTCAAGGAATCCCAGGTTTTGATTATGTTTTTCAATGATGGATTAAAACAAGGACTCGTAAACTCCATATTCCAGATTGAAACCATCCCTGATTCTTTTGACAAATACGTAACCACAGTCATTCGGTTGGATAGTAACTGGCAACGAGGCGCAGCTCTGCGCAACAACCGCCGTAACATCACCAAACCTTCCAGACAATGTTACATACCAAGACCTACCTTCAATCGAAACCATGATCCCAATGCCATGGAGGTAGATCGTCTTGATGAAGAAGAACAGAATGAACACTTCAAGAAAGGACAATGATTTACCTGTTGCAAGACCGGGCACCTAGCAAGAGTATGTCCTGAGAAGAAGAAAGGGAAGACCCCCATACACCGCAAGGAAGTAGAAAGCAGCGATGATGATGAAGAAGAAGCAGAAGTCCCTCGTCTTAATGAGGATTTTTGATATGGGAGACTGGATCAATGTCAGTATCTTCCAATGTACCTATAAGACTTGTATGAGCAATTGGTGAACGTAAGGAACTTTGCGTCCCAATTTCCCTCATCTCGAAAACTTGTCTAAAAACCGTTGAAACAACCGCAGTCATAGACTCTGAAGCAGCTGGAACCTTCATTTCCGACGACTTCGTCAGACAACATTGAATTTGCACCCACGCTCTCAGTAAATACTTTAGGGTTACAACTGCCGATGGAAGCTATTCCAACAGCAAAGCGATACACAGATATTGTGTCCTTACTGTCAAGATAGATGGAAGATCCATGGTCGGAAAATTCATGTCAGAACTATCCCAGTTTGTAACAGGTACAGGAGCAAAGTCGTGCTAATTAGTCTAAATCATCGAGATCTCTATGCGGGGGTGCATCAATAGAAGGACCTTCTTCTGCCAGTGCATTAACCTGTGTATCAGCCAGATTTTTGCTTACCAAAGCGGTCACATGGTGCCACAATGCCCTGAATTTTGCAGACAGGGATCGACGGATGGCAGCCTGGTGTTTTGCATACGCCACCAAGCCCTTGTTGTCCTCAGGCTGCTCAGCCACATGCAGTGTGACCCGTGCTTCCCACCACTTAGCCTGCCAATCGAGAAACTCCAAGACACACCACATCTCCTCCAAGAGCAATTGGATTTCTTCAAACCACCGGTTGTGTCTGGCCCTTGTTTTGCACCATTCAATGTGTAGCGCTAGATGTGTGGTAAGCAATAAAGATAGCAGTAATAAATGATGACTTACAATCCCAAAACCTGTCACCATTGTCCAAAGGAATTCCGTGTACATGCCAAATCCATGACATGATCACTGTTCCTTGAGTGCGACCTCCAAGGTCCCCCATTGGCCGAAGGTCAGACTTCCTCAATGGCTGCAACTTGCGCTCCCAGCCTACATGGTCTAGCTGCCAAGACAGATGAGTGAGAGCTCACCGAGCACAAGAATACTTCTCGTGACTAAGAATGAGCTGATCCTCAACCGCTTGAATGGTTTTTTGGGCACAAGTGTTAAGATTTTGTCTGCAAATTTGTTGTGCCTTGAAGCGTAGAAGCTGGTGGCGGAGACGAATGTGAGAGCGGCATTCTTCGAGAGCGTTGTTAGCCTGCGCCAAGCATAACGACCACTCAACCTCAAGCAATTTCGCATCGCACATTGTCAGATTACAGATAGAAGATGGAAGAAATAGTGGGATATCCTCGGCTTTGATAGAGTTGAGTTTGGCTTTTGGACAGCCGGTGGTTTCATCAATGGTGCCCTCATCAGATGGAGAGAGACCAGTGGCATGGAAGTGAGCGACAGAGGGCACGTACAGGACCTGTATGTCGATCCATGAATCAATGCGGCATTGGAGAGCATTTCTGCGCATCAGAATCTTTGTTTGCTGATTGTTGTGTGGCATGGAAGTGAGCGACAGAGGGCACGTACAGGACCTGTATGTCGATCCATGAATCAATGCGGCATTGGAGAGCATTTCTGCGCATCAGAATCTTTGTTTGCTGATTGTTGGTTGAGTGTTGAGTGAGACCTGCATTATCTACCCGTAAATGTCGTCTACAAATGAATAAGCAGGAAGTATGTAGCAGTCAATCCATCACTTACTGCGCATTCTCAAGGTCCAAGCCTGTGCTAATGAAGATACTAGGCGTCACCTCTGAATGGAGGGAAATTGATGATCCTTCTTCCAAATCTTTTGCATCTTGGGTCATTTCTGGTATTTCAATCAGTCATCAATCACGCTCTAAAATTTTGAACTTACCTTGATTTTGACTGTTGAAGGGGTTGGGTTTTATATGATTGCTCTCCCAAGCAATGCCTTCTTCAGTTCAAGCCACGAGTGACACAGCACCCAACTCTGACTCTTTGATGGATCCCTCCAAGTCCACCAAGGTATGGTGATGGTCCCGTTTGGCATATGCAGCATCTGTTATTTTACGTAGTAGTGTTCAACCTTGTAAAGTAATCAATTTTCTGAATAAATGTTTAAAACTTGAGACTTACCAAGACCTATCACTTTTTTCCAATTCCAGTCCCCAAAATGGTTGTCTAAGACATCTCAACGTGAACCAGGTGCCATTTCCTTTGTGCTCACAGCAACACGGTTTATGTTGGCCCAACTGCACTCTGGCACTTCTCTGTCAGTCCGTCCAACATAAGGAGACCAATTGAATGAAAAAGTTGTTTGACAGGCTGCAATGTGTGTTGCGAGATGGAATTCGGAATGGAAAACCTGTATTGTTGAGTGCTACTGGGATGAAGCTGTAAGGGAAGAGCAGTTGACACACGATGCCAAAGCTTTTTGTGCTATTGACATGCGATATTGTAGGAGAAATTGACGGATGGGATTGATGAAAAGCGTGAAAGTGTGGAGAAGACAATATAATCCATATTCAAGTATCTGCCCAAATGAAATCAAAAACTGATAATATTCTTCCAGTGATACAAGTACTCACTTTTCACCTTTCTGAAGATCCCTGACGCCATTCGCTAACCGCATGTCATGCCTCGCGCAAACCACAGTGCCGACACCTGTTGCTGCAAGTCCCTTGGAAGATTTTGTGTCTGCCATATTGACTGTGTTATGGCTAACACAATTACTTTCCAATGCATATAAATCAGCAATGGCTGTAAGCAATAATCATTCAACTCACCTCTTGTGCTAGACTTGCATTTTCTCAAAGGTACACCTTGTAGTTACTTTCTTTGATAAAGTAACCCCATCCTTGGCTCAATCCAGGGTCCTTGTCATCGCTGGATACCAGTTGGCATTTCAGATGAAAGTTGGCATTGATAGCCAAAAACAGTGAGTAGATCCATCTGTAGAATGTGTTCAGATTACAGCTGAAAATAGGGAGGAGAGATGGTAAAATCTTACTGGTTCCCAGGTGAGACGTCCTCTAATGTCTCGGGCATGTTTTTGCCAGGGTGAGGGCAAGCGGAACACAGAACCATGATTTCTCCTTCTTTGGTAGCGCTAACTCCAGCTGGGTCATGCCCATGACCTGCCTGTTTTAGTGCCTTGAGGTTGCACCACTCCGCCATCATTCACAAAAAGACAGAATATTGATCCTATGAATTTCAATGATCAGAGGTAAATCAATCAGGATAAAGTATATAGAGTACAAGTCACCTTGATAGGCTTGACACCTGTGTTGTCACTCTGACATGCAACACAGTGGTAAAACTCGAATGCGGATACCTTGGACTCAAACAAGAGCAAGTGGAAGTGTTCGAGAACAGTAAATGTAGCAGCTGTTCATGGGTCTGTGGTTGTTGCTGGGAACCAGCAAGCGCGCAGGATTTGTTTGTCGTGTGAGGATGCATACTCACAGTCACAGAAGTCAAGAGCGACTTCATGGATTCTGTGAACATCAATGACAGTAAAATCATCGTCAAAGGCTGGTTTCGGTTTGCGGCAGCGCTGACCAGCGCTGTGACCCAGTTGTATGTGGAGCCCCAGTTGCTTCAAGGTCATTGGATGGAAATACCCGTCATGCCATTTCTGAATCAATGGTGTTAGTGGAAAGCACTGATGTCCATTAAAAACATACCTTCAGCCGATGCAGGGGCATGTTCTGGTGGAGGTTCATAACACATGACTGACAGTATAATGCAACAGAAAGCAGTCTTTGCAACAAAATACTGCATTTGAATTGCCACAGCTATGGCATGAGTGACATGTGTCACCACGTCCTTCCAAGTGGATGAATTCATTGAGATATGTTTGACGTTCAGAGATCCAAATACGAATGGGGTCATCCTGTTGAAAAAATCAAGGTCAGCTCTCAGTCTATATTTTCAACATCCAAGCTTATGCCAACTGTCTGTGGTCATATTTCTTTTGAACCTGGGATGTTGTAAGGCTCTGTATCAAGGAATTAAGTGTTGTTCTGCTCATTCCAAGGATCCTCAAAGAGGTTAGTGTTGATGCTGAGCTCGAGTTCTGGAGTAGCGCCAGCTGGTGTCCCATCAAGATATGTTGTCTGTAGATTGATCTGCCCAGTGGGATCAACAGTGTATATTCTGTGGCGTTGGATGTTGCATGAAGATGCGTCAGTGGGATCTGAAAGCACATGTTGCACTAGGCGAGGTTTTTTGCTGGGACGACCAGCCATCAGTCACAGCACACTCCAACTATCAAGCCAAATATTGTTGAGCCACCATGATATGGTGAGCTCATTCATGATGTATCCAAGTGGACAGAACCAAACTCAATGATGTATCAAAATGGACAATGAACAGACCTTTCAAATGATCCAACTGCACAAATTCTTGCCGGTCCCTTCGGCACAATTCTGTTATACTCCAACTCCAAGTCGCTGAAAAGGTATGGATCATGAGATATCATTTGAGCTAGAGCTCACATTGGACTCAGCCCAGATGTCAGATTGACAACCAATGCAAGAGCAACACACATGGTTGATGCCACACTTAACTGAATACACACTGCGAATTTCACACAGCAAGGCACCTGCCTTCTGAGCATGGTTGAATGATGAATGGCTGCTGAAATGGCCTGAGCAGGCTTTGCTATGGCCTGAACGTCCAGCTGAGGATGCATTGACTGAAAGTGAAGAGAAGGAACTTTTGCAGCTGAAAAGGCAAGGAAACAAGTCAGTCAACAATTCATTCAATGATTGCAGTGGATGATTGACCATCAGATAGGACCTAAGAAGCTGGATGTTGTGGGCGTCAATTCGTCCAAAACATGCTCGTAAAATGTACAGTTGCTCAGGCTGTTGTGGGACCGCTGATGGACGTTGCGTCGAATTTCAATTCCCTGAGCTAAACCTATTATGATTGTAAATCATTACATTACCTATATATCTTGGTCTATGTAGTTTGAAGCAAGACAATCCACCATGCAAAGACCACGCACACTGTGATCCCACATTTAAATTCAAGCTTTGAGTTGAGAATTTTGGTGTTAGCAATATAGCCAGTAAAAGTTCTATAAAAGTCCAACAAGGTATGAACCAAATGTACTACGTGATTCTTAGCCACTTACAACCTTGAATCATGGGTCGGCCCAAACTCTATAACACTCCAAAAGAATGTCAAGAGGCCAAGCAGATGCACCAACGGACACACTATGCAAGGTTAATCCATGACACTTGTCTTTTTATTAATATATGTTACTCACTTTCAACCAGGAACAAAGCTGCAATCAGCACGAGACTCAAAGTGAAGTATCAGGAAAACCAAGAAGCACAAGCTGCCCCAGTCTCCCCCTCAAAAAAAGTTAATGGGTATGTGTATTGTTGATATTTATTTACTCGCTTATCTCAGAGGTCATTCATAGTGATATCAACCATCATATGATCGATCTTTATGACAATCAGGGCTCACAGCATGTTCACCGCCACCAGAAAACAAAGTCCGTGTGAGTTTTGATCTAATTTCATTCCCTTGCCGTGATCGAATATTCAATTATACAGCAACAAAAGGGATTTCTTATCAAGGTACTTAGATGGATCACCTGCACAGGTGATAGATGCTCTAGTATGCAACCACCTCGAGACTGGTGACTTAGATGAGCTTCGAGGGACACTATCTGCGTTAGAGGTGATTGTCAAGGAGTTGCACGATACAGAACAGCATATATTAGGACGTGAGGGCATGAGCCCAAAATTTCTTAAGGCATCTGATGCATCCAAGGAGGCAAAGGAAGTGATTCATGCTGTGGAAGATGTTTTTTGTTGCACATTGGTGTCGGGGATGGATCTTCACCAGCAATATGCAGACACAAAATTTATATTCCAGATGCTCTGGGACACTAAGTAGGTAGTTAATGTAATTGAACAGTAAAAGATTGTACTCACTACATGCCGACTTCATGGGTCTGTGCGTGAGATATTGCTGCAATAGCAGGCTAAACTTCTTCAAGGGTTTGCAAATCAATTTCCCCCCTCACACGCATATAAGCACCATAATGGTACATACATGAATTGTTTTTCCAGAAGGATGGAACTTGTTGATAATGAATAATGATATAGATTATGGCGCCCTGGAAATGGACTTCTCCTAAACAGGATGAATGGTTAGCTCCTTGGTTTGACAAATATTGTGCAAAGCAAACTGAAAAAATAGAAACTGGCCGAACTTTTTTGCTGACTTGAACGAGACATGGTTCATTGCATACCCAGAGCAAAGGCCAGCTAGTTTACCCCCTGTCGGACCATTGACCCAAGATGAGATGCTTGTGATGCATAGATGCATAAGGCTTGTGATTCGCGAAAAGAGGTATGTGTTAATTGTGAATGCTCACTTTAAATTCACAAATGGGACTTAGAAATTAAGAAACTGCTTCAAAAATAGTCTTGGTACGACAAAAGCAGGACGGCAAGCAAAGGCCAATGCTACAGATGTCTTCAAAGCCGTATTGTGGAGTGTCGCTGAATCCGAGAAGCCAATGTGTTCCCTTCAGGAAGCGGTGGCATATTCAAAGCTCTATTACCATACGCGTATTAAGGCAACGGCTGATGAAGTACTGAAAGCTGAAGCAGAATTACTGCAAGCAGAAAACAAGACACCTATGAATGGAAAGCATATTGCCATTGTGAAGCAGCACACAGCAAGCCTCTATAGTGGAGAGACTGATGAGGTTAAGGCAGAGGTACAAAGATACATTGAGAATCAGAAGACTCGGACACAGAAGGACGATGAGGCGGGGAACATGGAGCGAAGGCGATTATGCAAGGTAATAGAATTTACAGCCTATTGATTATGATGTGTATCAGCTTATGAGACCACATAGAAATATAGAAAAACTTGCCGCTATCGCTAACAAGTTCCTCAAGGGGCCAGCGGAAGCCACTGGGTTCACATTCTCCCTCCTGGCAGGTGGCCCTTCTCCAGAGTCCAGCGGCTCAATTGATGTCTATAGGCATGTGCATTAGTACTTATGAAATAGAGTCAAACACTGACCTACATCAAAGTTTCCAAGTGGGTCACACCAAGTTCGGAAACGACTTCAGCAAGGCATACCCTGAGTTTGAAATAGGTATCATGTCTCCATTCAGAGACCATCTGTATTGAGTATATCGTGAGTTGGATGGCGCTGAAAAAACCATTGACTAACTCATTCATAACAGCTGATCTGGTGGATTCAAGGGCACGCCTAGGGAGTCCCGTGTCATTGAACAAGGGTCCAACTCCCACATCGTTGAATGAGCTCGAGAGTCCTGCATTGTTGGATGAGTTTGAGAGTTCCTAGTTGTTGTTGAATGAGATTGAGATAGGAAGGGGTCTGGAGGATGTGTCCCAACAACGATCAGATATATCATCTGATGGCAATCACTCGGCATTAAGCAGTGGAGAGGGACACACTGGCAAAGGGGCTCGAACCAAGCAGGAGGCCAAACGCAGATGAAATGGGTGAGAACTAGCTACTGACATGCACTAGGTACATATACCTAGTGCCTCGAGGCCCAGGCAAGACCCCTGGCACCTCAGGCAGACCCCTAGGAGCCAGACCTCCCTAACACAGCGGAATGAAGGATGCTGACAAATCAGGTCAACCTTTTTCCGATACGTCTGCCAGTACTAGTGGTCCAGACACCCACCTGCCATTTGATTCAGCTCAACAGAGCTCACTTGATTTTTCTGAAAACTTGACTGGCAATTGGAATCTTGATGACACTTTTTGGACCGATCTTGCTGCCAAGGTTGCAGCATTTGAGGTGTCAGGTGGTGACAATCCGGCCTTGCCACACTTGCCTCCTTACCCACATGCAGAGTCCATGTCTTCCCCAACCCCACAATCACCCAATGTTCCAGCACCACTGCCGCATATCCCACACACCATATGTCGCACATCCCCTGCTACCTCATCCCATATGGTCCCTGCATCTCCAGAGGTTCCAGTACAGGCTGCGCAGTTCCTGCACCATGATTCTCAGCCAGTGAGTCCTATGGAGCCACGATTACAGCCCTCACCCCCTCCCATTTCCACTTTACCTGGACTCCCTTCCAACACACCAGTCATCACCAAGACAACAATGCAACCCTTACCGCACCAGTCAAATGCGCCATCCACCAGTGGTGTTGAACCCTCCCCTGATGGCAATGAACATTTTCATCGCCATAGGACTGGTCAGGTGTCCATTCCCTCCAAGGGCAATGCCGCCGCTAATAGCATTGGTGAAAATGCACTGACTGTTTCTGGGAAGCATACCACGGCACAGGAACCTAGTACATCCAGTCACAAACAGAAGTAAGGTCCTACTTCCATCTGTGTCGCCTGGTTACTTACATTTTCAAACAGGAAACAAAAGGTATGATATCGCATTGCATTTTGCAACTCTTCAGTGGACCAATGGACTTGGTCCTCTGCATTTTTGTTACCTCATTTTTTGTTACCTCTTATCTTTGTATATTCAGCGTAATTAGCTATTGAATAATACAATCATATATTTTCCGTCAATTACCAATGCACTGGGTCACTTTGCCACTTCAAACTTCAAATGTGTGCGTGCCACGAACACACTGTCATGTGACAATAGGGAGTTCAAAGCTGGATTTCGAGGCCGATTTGGATGCAATTTGGACGTGGATTTGGACTTGGATTTGGACGCTAAAAAACGTCCAAATCTGATTTCAACTTTGACAACCCTCGATTTCAACCTGATTTTGATGGATTTGACACCAACTGTTTTTGCTTACCCAAGTGCTTGCCGTGTCAGAGTTCAAATTACCGTAGTACAACGGTTAGCATAGGATATGTAAAAACTGTTTTGAAACCACGATGCCCTTTCAAACTGAACGCCAGCAGGCTGCTGAATCAGTGCTCGAGTCATACATTGCAGCTCTTCTGGCAGAATCCCACATTCTCATTGATCCCATGTCTTCTTCTAGCTCTGGTTCTTCTGATTCAAGCTCCGACAACTCCTCTGGTGAATCCAATGACGACCTGATGCCTACTACCAGCGAAGTTTTGCTTGGTGTGGTAGGCACATTGTACTCTCAGAGATACCTTGTCGACAGGGAGCCAATAGTCAACAGTGGTGAAAATTTAGTTGCCCTGAGATTTTCAGAGCATATGTTCAGGTAACCCCTGACTGCTTTGATGTGCTAATCTCTGCTCTACAAGATGACCTGGTGTTCTATAACCAGTCTAACTTGCCGCAGATGCCTGTTGCTGCACAAGTAGCCATTGCTTTATACCATTTTGGTCACTATGGTAATGCAATCAGCACAAGACTGGTGGCTTTGTGGGCTGGTGTTGGTTATGAGACTGTTCACTTTGTCACGCAACGTGTCATGAAGGCCATCTGTAGTGATCGCTTTCACTGCTCTGCTCTATACTGGCCGACATTAGATGAGAAAGAGGAGGCCAAGAGATGGGTGGAGGAGAATTCTTGCCCTGCATGGCGGGATGGTTGGTTGATGGTTGATGGCACATTGGTTCCATTATATGCTCGACTGACGGATCTTGAGAGGCTTTTCAGCCTGGAAGATTTCATCCCATGGGGCATGACAGGTAGCATGAACGAGAGAGACAGCAGGGACAAAAGAGACAGTGGGGATGAAAGAGACAGCAGGGACAAAAGAGACAGTGGGGACAAGAGAGACAGCAGGGACGAAAAAGACAGCAGGGATGAAAGAGACAGCGGGGATGAAAGAGACAGCAGGGATGAAAGAGACAGCAGGGATGAAAGAGACAGCAGGGACAAAAGAGACAGCAGGGACAAAAGAGACAGCGGGGATGAAAGAAACAGCAGGGACAAAAGAGACAGCAGGGATGAGAGAGACAGCGGGGACGAGAGAGACAGTGTGCAGCTAGATAGGATAGTATTGAGAGAACAGACATGTTTGTGGGGTAGAACAGTGACTAGGACAGTATGCTCTCACTTGGGCTATTGATGATCGTGCGCTATACTGCCCTGCAATGTTGAGCGCTGTCTTGATAACCTGAGGGTCTTATATAAATACGTGTAAGAATGTAATGACACCACAACTACACTTGATAAGACTTCTTGCCAGTCCTTGATTAACATGGTCTACGACTTTTCTTCTTTTGTGGTAGATAATGTGTGAGTTCTTGGGAGGCTCACTAAACCAATCAGTTAGATTAACTTAGCCGGAGCTCTAATATTTCTGATTGAAACTATGGGATTGTCTAGGATATACCGTCTAGACACTTGAACTGGTTTCCTGAATATATGGTTAACTGTTGAGAAGCTGGTCTCAAATGTGACTATGTGGACCAAAGCTCGTATTGGTCAATATACAAATACCTGGTGAGAACACTGGTCTCACAAATAACAACAAATGACAAATAGAAAAACAATGATAAATAACAACAATGACCAAAGCTCGTGTTGGTCAGTATACAAATACCTGGTGAGAACGCTGGTCTCACAAATAACAACGGTGACCAAAGCTCGTGTTGGTCAGTAAACACTATGTGGTGAGAACACTGGTCTCACAAAACTGGGTTTCTATCATGAGAAACTTACATAATCTCAAGGGATACACTTTCCCTGCACTTGTCTGGACAGTACTTACAAAGAAAATGGGCTTTGTAAGCAGCAATCTGTTCAGGCTGAAGCTTCTTAGGTGAGAGTTCAATTGGCTCAAGTGGGAGATTCTTGAATGCAACAAGTGGGAGATCTATTTTTTGGGGGGAGAATGGGCTCTCCTTATATACATTTTGTGTGGGAATATTATGTAAGTAAAAAGGTGATGTAATGACTTCAGAATGTGAGAAGAATATCCCAAAAACTGGAGCAGAATGTTACGAACTAGGATGGTTCTGACGTATGGCTACTCGATAAGAGTAATCGGCCAAGGTCGGTTCAAGGCTTCGGCGTATACCGAAGTTCAATGGTTTCTAAGACAAGTCTAGGAGAGTGTCCTCGACTTGAATCACGTTCAATGCGACTTAAGATTGGAGGTCTTAAGCGAAGGAAGTTCCAGGTAAAACCTAGTAAGATTAAAGTAAAGAACTACATAGTACAGGGCGAGTTTATATAATAAACGGTAACAACTTTAGGGCCGGTACGATGAGGTCATAGAGACGAGTCAGAGATAAGACGAGTCAGAGATAACAAGAATAGTTCATCTAGCGACGGCAAGATGCGATCGTGATGTAATACAATGATGTAAGAGGAAGAAAATGAATAGGGGCATACTTGACTGTAACATTACCCCGTTATTATCGTTGAAGTCACCGATTTCAACAATCAAAGTTATCGTAAGCGTCATAGTTGTCACGATCACCTGCACATTGAACGAACATTCTCTCATCTTCTTCGATAGAGATCTGTTCTAAGGCGGCGTCCTTGTCAGCCTCCCATTTAGCAAGAGCTTCATAGAAGCCTTCATCCGTCCATACTAATGGAATAGGTTTCTCGCCTTTAAGGTCTTTACAAAAGACCGAAAGATGCCCTGGCGCGAGGTTACGGCATACGCGGCAGAAATATGTTGGGCAATTCTTGTGACGATGACCGAATTCTTTACAGTAGCGACATTTGAAGTTATCAATGGGTTCGGTTTTCACGATGGTGACGGAGGACGATTGCGGAGGCGGGGATGGTGTTTTGGAGCGTAGGGTGTTGTTGCGTGAGGGAGGGGAGACAGAGATCTCACGTTTGGAGGGTCGTAGATGAATGGAGCGTGAGCGAGAGGTGGTTGCCGCCGGGGCAATAGTAAGAGCAAACGGTACGACCGGTACATCAGAAGGAGTGCCAGTATCAGGCGTATGCTCAACGGGAGATAATGTCTCGACCGGAGGAGGGATGGGAACTGCGACGTGAGGGGATGGCGGTCTGGCGATTGGGTTTGTTGCAATTCGTTCAGTGACGATATGGATGGCTTCTCTAACAACTTCTTTGGTAGAGGCAGGCATGAGACGTATCGCAGAGTTGCGAATGCGAATATGAAGATGACGGAAAATGGCTTTGAACCGTTGGTCATTCTCGCTTTCACTGAGAAGGCCTGCGGTACGCTTAATGAGGTTGGCGGCGCGAATAATGTTGATGAGGAGCGTGCTAGAGAGGGCCCCTTGTTCAGCGAGGAGGCGATCTATCTCGATAGCGTATTGCTCAGAAAGGAGGGCGGATTCAAATAGCGTATTGGTCTCGATATCGTCAAGGATGGTGAAGTAGTTTGGCGATTCGATGGTTTCGGTCAAAGTGACGGACGTAGTGGATGGGGAAGTAGCAAGGGTTTCTGACATGTTATCAATGGTTCTGACGAGAATTTGGAGTTGTAAGAGGCAAATCTGGAGAGTGCGGAGTTCTGAGAAAGACATCTTTTCGCGACCATTCTTATAACTGGTGAGCTTTCTTATAAGCGGCGAGGATTGCGGAGGCGTTGCCAAGATTTTCCGTGGGAATCCATTCGTTACTGGCAGATGAATATCCTTTCCAGGATACAAGATAGCGTCTTCGTTTACCCGTGCCCTTGTGCGATAGGATTGCTTCGACTTCGTATTCTTCTTCGTTATCAATGACGTCAGGTGGAGGATCAGGGAAGTTAGGACCGTGGATTTCGGTTTCGTGATAGGACGATAATTCGGAAGCATGGAATGTGGGGTGAACCTTCCATTGCTTTGGTAACTGGAGTGTGAATGTGATTGGTGACAGTACTGTGGTGATGGTAAAGGGGCCGTAGCGTTTCGGAGCGAGTTTTCGTGATGGTAACTGCGTGATAAGATTCTTCCCAGATAACCAAACCTTATCGCCCACTTTCCACGGTTGGTACTTCTTTCCATAAGATCGTGCAGCCATTCGCTGCATTGCAAGATTGTGACAAGAGATAGCTTCTTCTCGTATTTTCTGAAGGAGACGAAGTCGCTCTTCTGCGGCGGGGACAGTGGAGTCTGGGAGTACATGGGGGAGAGCTCGTGGCTCGTATCCCATCATGAGGAAGAATGGGGATGCGTTGCGAGAGTCGTGTTTGCGATGGTTGTGAACGAATTCGGACATGGGGATATGTTCAACCCATTCTTCTGGGTTGTTACGGCAATAGATTCGAAGATAGGTTTCTAGTTCTTGATTCAGACGTTCGGTTTGACCGTCTGTTTGCGGATGATAAGCGGTGGAAGCGGCGATGTCGTATTTCAAAAGTTTTGCAAGGGCTTTAGAGAACTTGGATACGAACTGTGGGCCTCGATCTGAGATTACTTTCTCGTGGAGCCCGAAGCGGCGGTAGACGTATTTGAAGAATTTCTTTGCTACGCCTTCTGAAGTGATAGTCTTCGTACAAGGAATGAGAATTACCCCCTTCGTAAGACCATGGTCTACCACGACCATGATAGAGTCGAACCCGTTACATGGGGGAAGATCGGTGATGAGATCGACAGAGACTTGGGAGAACGGAGTCAAGACCGAAGAAGGGATAGGAACCAACGGAGGTGTCGTTGGATGGGTATCGGATTTCATTTGCTGACAAAGCGCGCAACCCTCAACGTATTTACGGATGTAGGTCCCCATAGACGGCCACCAGAAGTCGCGTTTAACCAGTTCTTCGGTTTTGAAACGGCCGGGATGTCCCGCTGTGGCGTGGTCATGGGTGCGTTCTAAAATAGAGTGGCGTCCAGCTGGACGGACATAGGCACGATCTTTGTAGAATAGCACATCATCTTTAATCGTCCAATCAGAGAGAGCCGACTTCATGGGAGGAAGGCAAAGGCCATTCAAGGCATCGGAGGCGGCTTGGAAGATGGGGTCGGTGTCATCAGGATCAGGGTTCGCAAGAGTAGTCATGAGCTCTTGATCAAGAAGGCGAATGAACATGGAATCGGGGAGGAGTGTCATATCTTCATTATCGATGGAGTCGGGTGCATGATCAGGTCGACGTGATAAGGCATCAGGTGCGACAAGCTTGGTTCCTGGGACGTGGTGAAGTTCGATATCGTAACAAGAAAGAAGGAGTTGCCATCTGGCTTGGCGACGGGTTAACTTCTGCGCGGTACGGAAATAAAGGAGGTTCTTATGATCGGTGAAAACAATGATTGGATGGGGGTTTCCTTCTAAATAATGACGCCATTCTTGAAGTGCACGGATAACGGCCAGGAGTTCGCGATCGAAGATCTGATAATTTCTTTCAGTGGGGTTCAGGGATTGGGAGAGGTATCCGCATGGATGATACACGCCGTTCTCATCTGTCTGGAGTAAGACAGCACCCGTTGCAACAAGAGATGCATCGGTGGCCACTGCGAATTGTCGAGACGGATCAGGGTTACGAAGGACAGGCTGTTTTAGGAAACACTCCTTTAGCGTTCTAAATGCCTCTTGACACGGTGCAGACCAAAGGAAGACGTTATCTTTCTTTGTAAGGTCGATAAGGGGTCGTGCGATATCGGAGTAATGAGGGATGAAGTTCCGATAGAAGTTACAGAAACCTAGGAACGATCTAGTTTCCTTAACAGTGGATGGAGTTGGCCAATCGCGGATTCCGTCAGTTTTAGCAACGTCCATAGCTACACATCCGGGGCGAATAATCATGCCGAGGTATTCAACCTCTTGCGCGTCAAAGGTACACTTCTCTGGTTTCAAGAAGAGTCGTTCTTCGCGGATCTTCGTGAGAATTCGACGGGTACGAGCGTGATGTTCAACCAGGTTATCCGAAAAGATGAGGATGTCGTCCATATAGATTACTAACCATCCTTCGTTGATTTCCTGTTGGAAAGTACGGTTCATGTAGGCTTGGAACGTGGCTGGGGAATTGCAAAGCCCGAAAAACATGACATTCGGCTCATAGAGTCCGAATTCAGTGGTGAACGCAGCTTTCCATCTATCATCAGGGTGAATGCGGATATTATTATAACCGGATCGGACGTCCATCTTGGTGAAATACTTTGCTCCATGTAACCGTGCGACAAGGGATAAAGGAAGTGGCAAGGGGTAGGCGTTTTTGATCGTCCAATCGTTGATATATCGATAATCTTGACAGGGTCGGAGATCTCCGCTCTTCTTTCCTACGAAGAAGAAACCGCTGGCTTGTGGCGACTTGGACTCCGAGATAAAACCTTTCTTTATGTTTTCGTCAA